AAATACATTTTTTCACTTCATATAATTCTTGTTTTTTTTTTTTGGTTTTATAATGGTATTTGTTTTTTCTATTATTTAAGGTTCGAATAAAATTATCTCTTCTAAAAGAAACTCGTCTAGATGAAATTATTTTCTTATACACTTTTATTTTAACATTTTTAGGTTTCTCTTTACTATATATAGAAAGATTCTTAATGCGGGTAAAACATGCTCAGGAAAAAGAGAATTAAGGAGTTTTCTCAACAGTTACTCCCTGAGTGAGTATGACGTTCAAAATTTATTATGATTATTATTTTTATTATCTTTTAGTTTTATCTTTTAGTTATATCTCTAAAATTTATCATTCATTGAATAACTTTCTTGTTCACATTTTTTTTTTTTATAGAGTAGGACTAGATTCTAAACCATTATTAGAATCAGTTGTTCTCGAAGAGATATTCATGTTTGTAACGGAGACAGATTCATCTATTTCCTATTATAATTATGCAGCTTTGAAAGACTTACATTCTTGCCTTTTGGTAAATCGGCAATGGTGTGAAAGTGCAGTGCGTATTTTATGGCGTCGACCCTTTAGTCCATATCATAACGGAGGTCATAAAGTGATATCCACATATTTGAAAAGTTTAGATGTTGAAGAACGAAGAGACTTGAAACTAAAAGGTATAAAATTACCTCCTGTTTCACAGGCTCCATTATTTAACTATTCTTCGTTAATTCGACATCTTGATTACGGAGAAATGTTATATGCTGTTGAAGTTTGGTGCAGCAATTTACCTAAAAAAAGACCTGATTCTGTTGTATCTATAATGAGAGTTTTGTTGAGACTTTTTTTAAATAATGCTGGTCCTCTTTCTTCATTAAAGCTTGCTACACTTGGTGAAGATTATAACGATGAAAAATGTATGATATTGACCGAACCTGAAATTAAAAATTTGATTACCTCTGTGCGAACCCTTTCTCTAGACGGTTTTGACTATAACCAACAAGGTTTATTAACTAGACTTCCAGATTTATGTCAGAATGTGGTAAGCGTCCATATAATTTTAATTACACACTTTTTACACTCTTTGATACAAAAATGATTTTAAAAAATAAAATAATAAAATAAAATAAAATATAAAATTTTTTTTTTAAATTTTTAATTTTATTTTTTTTTTTAATATATATCTATAGGAACATTTATATCTTCGTGGTTGGTATGGACATCAACAATATAAAGCAGATGATATATCACAAACGAATGACTCTGCTGCAGTCTCATTACGAAGATTAATCAAAGCACAAAAAAATTTAAAAACCTTTGACATGATAAATTGTAGAGCCTACCTTGGTTACATGATATCAGCATTAGATACTCAATCAATTTCATTGAGATCAATGAAATTTCGATTAGTAGATTTTAAGGATTGTGGTCCATGGGAAGGTTTAGCATCATGCATGAAATTAAAAAATTTGGAGTTTTGGTTTTGTAAAGGAATCACTCATAAAATGATCAAGCCACTTTTAGGAAAAATATTTTCGGAATTGGAAGAAGTCAAATTATTACAATATGGAATTGGATGTGAAGAGTTTAATTATTGGGCGAATAAGATTAATGGAATTAGTAGCACTAGTAATTCTAACATTTGTACTGTGGTGGATGAATTTGAGTTTGAAAACAATTATTTGTTAATTTAGCAGTGAATTTATTTAGAGGAAAAAGTTAGAGGAAAATTTAGAAGAAAATACAAACACAAACAAAAAAAATATATATATATTAAAACAAAACACGAGTCGTCAATATACAGTATGGGATCTTTGCAAAGAAGAATAATATAATTCAGGCCATTATCGTTATGGCAGCGGAGATCAATGCATATTAATTGGACATATCGGTTTTTTATACACATCACATCTTGTAACACAAACACACACATTTATACATTACATTTATACACATTTTAAACTTTTAACAATTAGAAAAATAGTTTTGTATATTTTACACATCATCTTTTTTTTTTCAGGTTTGCATTTATATAATGCATAACTTAGAAACCTGATTTTTTTTTTTCGTATCATTATTCATTATAATCATTAGATTTTGAAACATTTATTCGTAGATTGTATATTAATATTACGGTATATTAATATTACGTATATAACGTATATATGTATCTTTAGTGAAAAAAATTATTTATTATAACAAAAACACCTTTATAGTAGGATTTATCAACAAAAATAATCCTTCTTAAGTTTATATGAATAAATATCTTGACGCAAAATTATGAACGCGTATAAGTACGTACGTACGTACGAGATTAGGGTTATTATTAAAGTTTCGGAACCGGTTTTCATTTTTCACATGTTAATTAAAAGTAGGAATATCATTGGCTGTTCTGGTCAATTACCTATTATATAATATAAATATATAATCTGACAGTATATATATTAATTAGAAAAACAAAAATGTTCCATTGCGCAAAAAATGAACTATTTTCTGACCGTAGTTAAAACCGATTAAACTCAATTTCAACATGTGAAAAATTAGATTTATATACCATATACGTAAATATTAGTGTATTAATTAAATGATTAGTTATTTTTAGCAACCCAATGTATAAAAGATAACGTATTTGATTGTTTCTAATGAACAGTCAATCACGAATCAGAATAATGAAAATCAGGTCAGAATGATGAAAATCCTAAAAAAAACCAGAATATATATTGAAAATCTTAAAAAAATTTAAGTGTGAATATTGAAAAAAAAGGGTTATGTTTGACAACTTAGTCACAAACAAAGGAATCTTTTTGGATCCATAAATCATTAATTATTACCTATTGAATCAAGTTAAATCCACCTGAAATCGGTATATATCTATATGCGTAACTTGGTTCGAGCTTTAAATTTATTGGTACTTAACAATAAAAGATTTAAAGGCGCGGTGTTACATTTAACAAGTTGCTACTTCATTGTTATTACGTACGTACGTACGTACGTACGTCAAAATTTTTCGCATGTACTCAAGTACATATGTAACGCATGTTTAAACGCCGCCATAATGATAACGATAACGATAAATTACCCAGACCAGATTGAGCCCGGGCTGGGCCCAGATTGTGTGGATATTTACTATTGTGTATATGACGATGATCTCAACTTTAAATTGTGACCAATTTCTTATTTCGTAATCACTTTACTTTTCTTTCCTTTTGAATACCATTACTTGTTTATGATATATTTGGATTAGAAAAAGTCACAAGGTTATAATTTTTTCTTTTCCTTAAACGCCAAGCCTTCAAAGTTGAGTATTTGTCATCTAGGCATCAGACCATATTAAATCGAATGTTTTTATACACTTATTATTATGACATATCCTCAACTTGCTATTTAAAAAATTGTATCTTATCACGGTTAACCAGAAAACGTTAATTCTACAAATATGAAAAGTTCTATTTACATACCATCGGATATAATTGAAGAAATTCTTTCCTTTATTCAAAATGAACTAATCAATAATACCGATTATTTAATCGGCGAAAGTTCTACTTTGTATAACTGCCTTCTAGTGAACAGACAATGGTGCAAGCTTGTTATCCCACGACTTTGGCGTCAACCATTTTTATATGTGAAAAAAGGAAACCCAAAACTTATTTCAATTTTTTTAACTTTTCTAACAGATAAAAAACGTAGAACTCTCT